GAATTTGTGGTCCTACCATTTTATACCCAGAAGTAAATGGCGGGTAACTGATCATGGTATGTGACGTCCTGCCATGGACAAAAATTATCAGGTTGTGTTATGTTCTCGTTTTCTTCACTACTGCTTGAATTGGTAAAGGTATGGTTCTCTGTCTTTTAGTAACTATAATATCACTACCACTACTAGAGTCACTAATATTATCACTATCCAATCTATCATTTTCAGTTGCCTCAATATAAAATTCATCTTGTAAAAATTTCTTGGGCACAATTTTTTTTTCGAAATATATACCGAAAAAATACACCGAACTTTACCCAATTATGTTAGTTATAAAACTGAGTAATTTTCAAAATGCAAAAATGGTGCGCATGTGAACTGAGGTGATTGAAATATATACATCAACAGATGTCCTCAGCGAAGGTTTAAGAAAGCAATTTAGAAATATTAGAAATGAGCTTAGGGGATGACAGACCGGCTAACCTGCTGTAATGATAAGTCATGGTGCCCCGCCTATACTTACGCTATATCATCCCTTTTTCAAATGCTAAGCTTGATTTATACCCTAGTAAAAACGTTCAACAGGGCTCGCGCTCATCTTAGCTTGTATCACGCGTAGGTCCATAGAACAACTCTTGCTTTTGTCCTTTGCAGCCCTAATGTATACAAAAATAGGATTTAATGTTTACAGACGAAATTTTTTAAATGCCCCTCTTGCAAAGAAAATCTTAACTTAATACCCCAAGATTTAAACGACGTATTAATGCAAAATTCTCCCTGGCTGCGTATGCTGAGAACTGCAAATTTTCACTGTTTGGACATGGATTTATTTACGATCTCACATGATTCTTTAAAGAAGACACTGACCGTGGGATTATTGAATAGACATCGCTGTCTGATTCGTAACCTTCTATTGCTTTTTCTTATATAAAGTATCTTCTTCTTCAGGTGGTGCCTATTCGTTTCGAATATTAGCGATCATTCTGGCTATGATGATCTTGTTCTTAAGAGACTGATTTTGATATTCAGGTCTAGATTGCGGCTTTTAAAAAGCTTTGACATTTTGATAAAGGCTTGCCTTGCTTTCTCTATTGTCGTTCCCTGATAAGTGAACTTAGGAACCCGTTCTACTAACATGAACATTTGACAGTTTTGGATATTTTGCTTAGTTATTATCATGACCTTGGTTTTACTAATGTTCATGCTTAGGCCATATTACCACCCACATTAACTCTTGCAAGCTATCAGCGAATACAGCAGTGTCGTCTGCATATCGAATGTTGTTAATGCGTTCTCCGTTGTGTAGAATTCCCTTGTCGATATTTTCCAACGCTGTAGCGAATGTTTCTTCCGACTACAAGTTGAAGTTCAAAGAAGAAATATATAGCAATGGCATTGCTTTGCTTATCTGCATCGGACTTTATGATACCTGTTTGATTCCAATATAAGTTTCTTATGATTCTAATATTCTTGTCGTTCATTCCAGTCTTCTTCAATACTTGCATCATACTCTCGTGTTGTACCTTATCAAACGCTTTCTCATAATCGATAAAGCAAACATATACGTAACAGTTGACATCACAGCATCGCTGGAACAGCGCTTGTCCACTAAACAAAGCATCTCTTGTACCAACTACTTTCATAATGCCGGACTGCGTTTCCGGTACTTTTTCTTCGCATATTCTTCGGTGAATTATCTTAAGAAATAGTTTCAGCGAGTGACTCATCAAGTTGTTTAATCTGTAGTCTCCACATGTTTTGGCTCCACGTTTTTTTGGTATCATTATGAACTCAGAGATAGATAATAAAATATTTAAAAATGTTCGTTAGTAATTCTACAGATTTGTATTTTTGATTGTATTTCATTTGGCCCTGGAGCTTTTCCTTCATTCAAGGACTTAATGGCGGTCCTAGTTTTATAAGTTAGTATTTTAGGGGAGGTTTCTGCTTGGGAGGTTGGTGAGTCTCCACTTCTATCGTGGAATTGATAGTTTATATATTTTTCCCATGTTTATTTAATGTCTTTTCGGTCACAAGTAAATTCTCAGTTTTCGTTGAATAGCTTACATACAGTTTTTTTCTTATACATTCCAGTTATTTCTTTTACTTTTTTTGTGTAAGTTGAATTCATCAAATTTACTTTGTAGCTCTTCCATTTCTTGACATTTTCCTTCTATTTCTTTTTGTTTTGCTTCGCTGATCTTTCTTTGTATTAGTCTGTTGAGTTGTTAGTATTTTGCAATGTCGTTATTGTGTTTTCTTCTTTCTTCTATAAGTTGTCCAATTTCTTCTGTTATCCAAGATTTTCTGTTGTCATTGTCGTTTTTAACTAGTTCTTTTTTTACATTTTCCACCGTTCTGTTTAGTGCCTGAAGTTGCTGATTCGGGTCGTTAAAAACTGGCTGCACTTATCATTAGGGATTTGTGTTTGTATTTTCTTTGAGTTTTTTGATGTCATGTTTTATAGGGCATTGGGTTTGTACTCTCTTTACTTTAGTTTTATAGTCTCCTATTACTAGGTTGTGATCGGATTCTATATCGGCGCCGGGATATGTTTTCACACTGGTAAAACTATTTCTGTGTCTGTGATTTACCAGGATGTAATCGATCTGATGGTGGTAGTTTATAGAATCTGTTTAGTATAACTAGGTTGTGCTCGGCTGTGAATATACTGATTGTTTCTCCTCTGTCATTCCTATCTCCAAGTCCGTAAGGCCCAATGTGTCCGCTCTTTCTTCCTCTGCCTACTTTAGCTTTAAAGTCTCCCATTAGCATTAGGGGTTCGGCAACGTTCTCATCAAGTCGTGAATCTTGGTATAAAATTCTTGCACATTTTCACTGTGGTCTGTGGTAGGTGCGTAAACTTGAATTATGTAAGTGTTCACAGGCGAAGTATATACCTGAAGAAGCATAATCCTTTCATTCACAAGTCTAAAATTGATAGCGTGTTTATCCACTTTTGTCCGTATGATTACTCGTACCATGCTCGTACCTTCCATCCGTTGTTTCGGAGTAATATATTCTATAGTTTCTCCTAGGTTGTCTTATTTTAATGCTAGCATTTCTCATTTTACTGTTTAAACCTGCTCCCTCCAAAGATCCGATTGGGGAGCTTGAAACTCCGGACTGATTTGATCTGAACATAGCCATATCGATTGTTCTTGAGATATCCAGTGGATCTTTCATATGATTATTCCTCCTTTGAGGTCAATTTTTGAATCCCAGGACAATGAGGTGTCCTTCCACCTAATGTTTCCTCCACCCGAAACTGTTGACCATTGGGTGGGGGACTACTTATCCCGGTAGTCCTTCGCTCGCCATATCCTCGTTAGTAGACAGGGTGTACCGTACACCTAAAGTTGTAGCTCGTGTAGGTCAGTTTGGCATTTGTATACGAGACGCTGTGTATTGCGCTTCTATATACCTTACACCCTATTCAAAGTATATCACTTAAATAAATAAATAAGTCAGAACCTTTTCTTTTTTCTTTGTTTTCTTTTCTGTTGCCTTCCCTTTGATAATATTGTACTATCTGTGCGCTTTTCAATCTGAAATGTAACTTATATTGTTACTTTTCTTTTCTATGCCGGGTTGAATTCATCGCATTTAGTTATTTTATTTTTCTCTTTCACATTGTTCTTTCGCATTGTTATTGTTATTAACTAAGCTTAACATAATATTATGTTGTTATATTTGGATTTTTAAGAGGGGGTTTAACCTGTTTGTGTTCCAAAGGGCAAGTAAATAAATAAATAAATAAACAATTGAACATTGTCGCTACCTTATCCAACACAACTAATACATAGAGCAAGGATGAATCTTGCACCATTGGCTCTAAATTCAATCTATAGTTAAGACAAAATTAACTTAACTTTATCTGCAGTTTTGTTTATATCGAAATTTGAAACTGAAATTTTGAGTTAGGACGTATGTCTATTTTCTCTGTTTTAAACAAAGAACTACAACGATAAACTACGACATGACCGATTCTGATTGACTTTTTTGTATACATTAGGGCTCCAAAAGACAGAAGCAAAAGTTATTCTGCTATGAACATACGCGTGATACAGGCTAAAATAAACGCGAGCCCTGTTAAACACATTTACTTGTCATTAATGAAGCTTAGCATTTGAAAACAATATGATAAGATAGTATCATCAATACCATCAATGCTTTAAAAAACGTCGTACTGCGAAGCACATCAGTTTGTTCATTTGTGAAAATAAGCACATTTTTCATCGATTTATCGTAGCTTTTATTATTATTTAAGTTTACCAATTCGTTAAAATCCTTAATTATGTCGTTTATAAATTAAATTCTGCTGGACTGAATAAATTAAAAATTTTGTCATTCCTGCAAAAACGGTCGAATTTGGGTATAGAGTATATTACATGAAAAATAGTATATCTAGCATACTAGCATACTCCACACACTGAACTCATTTTACCATGATCATTTTCGACCTATTTAAGAAAGTTTTCATCGCCGTCAATAGCATAATATATGTCTACTGAGTGCCACGGCTAACCAACGTCTATGGACTACCCTTAAATTTGGTTGCACATAAAGAAATAACTTATTTGATTATTTTTATTATTCTACATTTAGAAAGTGTTCATGTACGTTTACTGAATGTCACTGCTAACGAACGTATACGGAAAATACATGAATACTAGTTATGCATTCCAAACTAAAAACTCCGCAAAAATGGAACTAAGTTATTTGACCTACGGTGTCATCACCTCGCCCTCTTTCTAACTCTCCCCTCTGAAATGAAATACTTCGAAACGATACCCATTTAAATTGTAATTTAATGCCTTCTCGGGAACATTTGTCAAAACCGTCAAACGCAGGTTTACACCACGGGTTATCGAAATGAAATTTATCTGGGTTCTTACACGAATTTGGGTTTTCCGTTTTTCGCCACTTTTAATTGATTTGGCAATCATCGACGATTAATGGCCTTGTTGCTATAAAACGATGACATTCGATTGTTTTTTCAGGAAAGAGTTTCACTTTAACCATCATAGTGTCGACATCACCACCGCAAGTGGCCACACTCAGCAAGGCCATCAAGGTTACTGTCGATGGACCAAGGGAACCAAGATCCAAGACGCGCCAAGCTGGATTTCATCACTTTCCGTTCGGACCAAGGCCGTTTCACCCAGACCCACTTACGGGCAGCTTGCCCTTTAAGTTAAGTGGTAAGTTTTCTTTGTCGACTTTCCTAGTAGGGTTTTATTTCGGTTCTCATTTTTATTAACCAATTAATATAATTTAAGATTTATTAATTAACAAACAAACAACAAATTTTAAGAAGATGAAAGGTTAACAGAAAAACCAAATCCTTGAAAAAATTGCGATGGAAAAAACGGGTGGAAATTTTAAATTCAAGAAGAAAGAGGTGAAATTCAGTATTTTTTTGAATTTGAATCAATCTCATTCCATTATTGCATGTCGTATTATAGAACAAAAACATGCATTTCACAAATGCGATGAATATTATTATAAACTCCTTATCCATTTTAAAATTACCAAAATTTTTCGAAAGGTAAGTTTTACAAGACAGCCTGTATGTTTTTACGAACGAATCAAATCCTATAATGACTTATAGTATATTTTATATTGGTTTGTCCTAGATAAGTTGTCAGATCCACTGTACATTCTACAGTATATAATACTTATTATTAAATCATAGCGATAAGGATTAGGAAAATTGATTTTGTCAAATGTCATGTGACCGGTACGACAAGTAAAAAACTAATCAGAATAATTAACAGTAAAGTAATTAATATTTAGTGTATAATGTATGTTCCGCCAAATAAAGGTCCCAATTTCAAGGGAAGTACAAGAATATTTAATGATTTAATGAATTTAATAGATCTAGTGATTTTTAATCAGAGCCAAGGCCTCATGAAACAATAAAGCATAACTCATTCCTTGCTTATTGTGTTGATACGAATAAAGAAGAGATGTGGTCATTTTTGGGAATAATTATATGGATTGGGCAAAATCCAAAACCACGTCTAAAGGACTATTGGAGTACAAATTTTATTCACAAATGTTGGATTTACCGACACGTCACGAATTTGATTTGAGGCACTTTTTGCTAATTGCTTTATGTCCTGAAGTAGATCCCCTCAAGTTAAGCACATCAGAGGGCGGCTATCCTCATAAGTATGGCACAAAACCGTTTAAATTGTTGGCGAAGTGGATATACTTTCACTGCAAAACTTTATGCTAGAAAACAACTAACAGCCAGTTGACAGTAAATTAGTTATGGAATGAACCTATTTACAAAACAGGTAGAATATTAATCGGTATAGGCCATTATACAGGTTTTTTCAGAAGATAAACGCGAAGCCTGTTTTTTTTAAAACAAAATACTTTCCTGAAATGTTCGAAGTAGAAACGAAAAGAGGAATCAAACGGAAGCTCAGTATAAAAATAAAATACAATTCTGCTAAATCATGCATAGATGTTTCAGATCAAAGGTAATCTTTCAGCAACTCCGTTCGAAGATCAACTAAATCAACTACCCAAAACTAAATCGTATAGGAAGGTAGAAATGGAAGTTCTGACAGATACGTGAGTTATAAATGGGGGAAAGCTATGTATGTATGTTCAGAGAGCACCTGGTTGATGAAATATGTGAAAAAAATTACCCCAGTTTATGAAAACACACATAAATTGGAAGGGTTTGATAAAAGAGGTAGCTGGGTTGTATGCTATAGTTTTTTTCAAAAGGGGTCGTGGGACAAAAAACTCAAAGCGGTGCTTTACAAGATGTGCAGGTTGCCTTGACAAAAAGTTTATGTGTCTGAATTGTTTTTAAGTTACTTAGTTTACTATGTAAGTGTAAAAGTTTTTTTTGTTAGTAATAATTAAAAATAACGCCAGTGTTTTTGTATCGATTTTGATACACCCAGGTTATGTGAATTGACATTATCCAATTTCATGCCTATGAACCATATGTATCAAATCTCAGCGCTTCACATCTTCTGAACTGCGTGTATCAGAGGTGGCCACGACCTCAAAATTACTCAAAATTTAAAATTACTGCTATTTATTGTGAAAGTGTTAAGTGTGAAATTAAATTCTAAGCAATTAATGCAATTTTTTCTTTCAATCCATCTGATTATCGACAATTTCATATACGTTTGTTCAACTTTGTCGTCGTTCCAGTGGTCACATGATATGTGTCAAAGTCGAATTTCATGTTATCAGATTGGCCACAACGTATTTTCTCACTCTCTCTCATGTGCGTGCCCTTTGGCGCCCGTATACAGGGTGACCAACTTTAAAAAATAAAATGGCCCTTGAGTACTCATAAAAAATAAGTGAGATCGTTTTCCCAATAATGTTATAATATAAAAGTTTTATTAAAAATTGATACGGATCATCTATGGAAATGGTATATTATTCAAAAAGTTTGACTGATATTATAGCTTAAGAAATGCACTTTTCACTAGTGTGCTAGATTCTTATTTGTACACAATTTTGCCTATGGTTCTGCGAGAAATTATTTTCAAAATGGTGGATAATCGTTCAATGCATCTGAAGCGTCGAAGTAAAACGGTATTAACAAATAACGTAAATTATTGATTTCGTTAATTTGAACGGCATTCTTCACGCACCGCCCACTCATATAAACGAACGCAGATGTCATCAGATTTGATTATACCGCAATATTTTTTTCACCCGAATTACTTTTGTTATATATTTGTTTTTATTCAATCAAACGATTGTAACTTGTTCGTTAACTAAGTTTAGATACGCAGTCACGTATGATAAACGATAATTCTATAGATATTGCATCATATATAACTTTGAGGGGGAAAAATCGAACCCTAATAATATTTTCAAACCGAAATATGTATATTTAATTTAATCGGTCGGCAGTTTTTAACGAATTTATGAATGCATTAAATTCGCGACCATATATAAAAATACTGATAATTTAATAATTCGCTAATAACTTAGCCAGTGCATGTGGGCATGCTTCAAAAAGCATATTTAATAAAATGTCCGAAATAAACAAATAAATGAGGCCCAAACAGGCAAAATAAAATTTTAGGGATTATTTGAGATAAAATCAATAGCCGATTCTCACAAAAGAGCGTTTTAATATATTCGCAGTTTTTTGACATTTCGTTTGACTTCAAGCTTATATTTGTTTGCGAACTTAAAAGATTACCTTAAAATAAAACCATGAATTACAGAATTACAAATGGAATCGTTACTGCTATACAATCTAAAGATAGAATGAAAAAAAACTGAATAAAAATCCCACACTTGCATTATTTACTGAATATAAAACTTATGGAAATTGGCTAAATAAATCTATAATGAATGCTAAAAATTGATAATATTTTAACAGCTGATAAAAAGAACTGGCTAATAACGTCAATGAATATTTCATCAACGTAGGAGAAAAAATGGCTGCTAAAGTAGAGTTGGCCGTCTCTCCTATAATAATAAAACAAAAAAGTGTACCATCAGTGTTTTTAACTCCAGTTATGGTAAATTAGATAGCAATTTAAAAAAACAATCAACACTACGTATTGTCGATCATATATATGTCATATCATAAAAATGATATTTGAGTCTGGCAATGTACCCTATCAGTTTAAAATGACTATAGTATCATCTATATATAAAGCAGGAGGTAAATCGAATGCCTGTAATTATAGATCAAAATGTCTTCATAAGTGCTCTCCGATTTTCTTAGAGGTAATGATCTATTAAACAGTCATCAATTTGGTTTCACTCAAGTGATGAGTATTGATGGTGCAATTGTGGAGCTCAGTAACAAAATTACTAACCATCTGGATTGTGGTAATCAGTATGCTGCTGTCTTTCTCGACATACAAAAGGCGTCTGTTACATGTACAATTACTTGATGTACTTGAAAAGAATGGAATCCGTGGCATTGTTGGCGATTTGTTTAGAAATTATCTAACCGATAGGCTTCAATTTACAAAAATAGGCAATCTTTTAAGTGACCAAAGCTCCAAGCCGATACACCGCAAGGAACTGTGCCTCTATTATCTAATGTATCTATAAATGAATTAGTAAAGTTAGACATTTGAGGCAAGGCTGTTTCCTAAACGCACGACACGGTGAGTATTTTTGGTGGAAAATGAAAATTGCTTTAAAAATACTAACAATATCTGTTAATGTAAATAAGACAGGGAAAAATCGTCCCACCTTTTCAGAAATATATACTGACACTTTAGTAGGACCAATAAAGGAAACTAATGTTATAAAATACTTATGGTTGATAAAAATGTTAAATGGGATAATCATGTGGTGTACTTAACAAAAAAAATCAGATCTTTATTTCATAAATTTTGTATGCTACGAGAATTTATTTCTAGAAAAATTGTTACACTTATTTATAAAGTGCTAGTTGAACCGCTTCTATGATACTGCATTCTAATATGGGAAAACGTACTGCGTTCATCTAGGTCTAGGTCAAACAGTCATTGTAATTTTAATATTGAAATATTGTAATATTAAATTTTATAATAATAATATTATTCTCACTTTGCATGTTTTTTCTTCCTGTGAGTTGAGTCAGATTTCCAAAATTTGTGTCAAATTAAAAAAAAAGTCGTTATTCGGAAGGAAAGGGAATTATTGAATATTTTGTAAAATGCAAAATATTCACTTATGCTAATACTTGTTCGATTCTTAATAAGTTTACTTACTTCCTGTCAAATTATATTTCTATCTGTATTAAAATCCACTATAGGGCAGTAATGTACAATTTAAAGAACTTCGCTCGTAATCAAAACCTCGTGATGGTGCTTAAGCACATGTGTACAATTCGAAATTAAAATCTCTTTCGTATTTTTATTTCATAGAGGTCGTAAATACCGCAAAATCTGATGGGGCTTAATAAACATTGATCATGTCTGCAAACACCTGGCTGATGTGCAGATATTGGGCTTTATATACCAGTAGAATACCTGTAGTTTAGTTTATTATGTTACCTAGGTTCTGGTACGGTTTTGTGAATCACAAAAAAAAGCGAAAGACATCAGAAAGCTTGATAATATTTGTTCGTATTAGATTGACATTTTGGGAAATCCTTATTTTAATAAGAAATAGTCAACAACGAAATATAAATTCAACACGACATCAGATTTGAACCATTTTGGCACGAATATAAACAGTTTTTTTAAACGACCAAAAAGTC